TGGGTGCCAGTGCACATGGAGAGGGCATGTCCAGCATCTCATTCCCAAGTCCTCCTCCTCCTCCCCATCTGCAATCAATCCCTTCATTCCCCAGCCTGGATGGATCCCGGGGGTTGCCACAACCAAGGGGCAGCACCTTGAGCTTGGTCTTATTAAACTTCATACCAAGACTGCTTGCATTCTTATCACCTGTCCCCTGACAAGCCTCAGGTCACTGAGAAGGCAGCAGAGAGAGGGGCAGGGTGAGGGATGACCCAAGAAAGTGCCCACAAGCAGAAGTGGGCTGAGGTCCCACCTACTCACTCATTTAGGGGAAAACCCCTTAGAACATCTGCTCCTTTCAAAGAACAGTGGGGACAGAAAGGAGGGAGGACAAGGAAGGTAAACTCAAACCTAAATACAGGGTAAGAATAACATTGCACCAGCCTAGAGCCCCAGAGCAGGTGTAGGAGGGCAGTGTGTGACCAAGCAAGACCCCAAGAGGAGGCTGGTTCTATTCGGGGGTGGTGGGCACAGCAGCAGCCTCAGGACAGGGCACTGGGCACAGTCCTGGCCTCCCACACAGCCCAGGGAACAGGGTGACGTGTCAGGGACACAGGGATGCAGCGCTAACCCATGGATAACAGCCCCAGCCCCCTGCCAAACACAGAGTGTAGGAAACGCCCTAAAGACCCCCTTTCCAAGTAAACACTAAAAGAAAGAGGCACCCCCAGCCCCACAGATGCTCCCACTCAGTGCACACAAGGCGCTGCCCCCAAACACGCAGGGAGTAGCCCCCAAAGCCTGCCAGGCCCCTCCAAAGCCCACTCACAACAATGAAGCCCCCTGTAAACCTCAGACCCCTCCTCCATGTCTCCTGTGACCCCCAGACCCCTTCTCGGCCCCACAGCCCCTTCCAAAGCCCACTCACAACAATGATGCCCCCTGTAAACTCCCCCAGACTCCCTCTCAGCTCCACACCCTCCTCCATGTCCCCTGTGACCCCCTAGACAACGACTGGGTTCCCCGGGCCTCTCAGAAGCCCACTGACAACAATAAAGCCCCTTGTGACAACCCCTCAAGCC